CCTCTGCATGCAGTCACTCACTGAACTTTCCTCATAGAGATTCATTGATTCAATTCAGCTCTATGAGGAGTTGCTGATTGGCCAGGGCTGTGTTTGAATCATGCTAGCTCTGCCCCTGATCTGCCTCTTTGTCAGTCTCAGCCAATCCTATGGGCAAGTATTGTGATTGGATCAGACCACCACTTCTAATGATGTCAGCGGACAGCTTGTTTTTCTGAGTCAAACAGCATGCAGAGTTACAGCTTCAGGCTTGGATACAATAAGATTTTGCTATATTTATGGAGGCATGAGGGGTCCAGGGGGGCTAGATGGTGGTTTTAGCACTATAGGATCAGGAATACATGTTTGTGTCCCCGACCCTATAGTGATCCTTTAAGTATAATATCATAGAGCAATATTTTTACCTCTCGAAGAATTCATGTATTGCTCTGTTCTTGCTAATATTGCTAAAGCTATTAATACACACACCAAAATATGCAGACACGCTACCGTGACAAATGTTCTTTACATACAGAAAAGTCAACTCCCTTTAAAAAAAAAAAAAAAAAAAAAAGTGTGGAGAGGGTTATAAAATATCTTGATTTATAATAAAAATTTTTTTATATATTTTTGTGCCATTTTAATAAATGATCTCAACAGGGAAGTCATTTTATTGCGCAATTATTTTCATTGTTGATAGTACGAATCAATGAAGAGTTGTACATTGTGTTGCAAGTGTTATTATACATATACTGTGATTAGACATAGAACATGTTCAAACCGGTGTTAGCACCAATTATATATACACATTGACTGTACAGCCCTGTTAAAAATACCAATTATTGTGGTACTATCCACAGACCCAACTAATGTAGAAAACCCAATGTTCAGTTTCAGATAAAAAAAAAAAAAAAAAAAATTTTTAAAGGTTTTTCCCTTTTATAAAACATTTTTTGGTCATATCCATGGTTCAATAAATAATTCCAAAATGTTCACTGAAGGTGCCCTGATCATATTTTGAGGCAGTCAATTGCAGTTAGAAGCAGCATTGGTGGTTGATGTGGGATGACATTGCTATTTCTGTGCATCTTTCATGTTGTGGTTTTTATTATCAGAACAGACTTTACTGTACTCTTCGGGGGTGACAACATAATCAGAGAGTGTCCTTAGAAAATCCTTTAAAGGGCACAGTCCTGCTTGACATCCTTTTACAATTTGCTCCTGGGGAAAAACAAATTTAAAATCATAAACAGTCAAATCAGGTGTTTTGCAGAATTCACATATCTGAATTCCCCCTCAGCCCCCCATTTTTTAAATTTGGCAAATAGATCATAACTGCATTAAAATGAGCAGAAAAATAATGAGTTCAGTTTTATTTTTTTTCATTGAAGAGAGTGTTAACCTCATGTCACTTGGAAAAGTCAACAAAGCCCAAACCGTTGGATATATCTGTACTTAATCAATATAATTCAATATTTTAAATAATATGGAAACATCTACCAGTTTTGAGATCAGATGCCTTTTATAGGGAATTATGCCAATTTATTTTTAGGAGTTCTGCATGCAAAGGAAAATCCATGGGGACTTTTTTTATCCCCAAGTTTTTTATAAAAAACAAAACAAAACAGTACAATCCTCTGAGACCTGGCTGAAATGTCTGGGTGTGATCAAATGTGGTGTGAATATGTGTAAATATTGTGTTCATGTACACAAGAGCACAGACTTCTCAGTCACATGTAGATAATATCAAGGATTTTATCAACTGTTCATCAAAAAGAATAGTGTATTTAATAACATGTAACAAATTTGATAAACAATATGTAGGTCAAATGAAGCAAAGATTGTAAACGAGAATAGCAGAACACATTGTGACGGTAGTATAGGGTATCACCGTCAAGCATTCCTTTCTTCCCATAAAAGAAAAACACCCAATATTCCACGAGTAGAAATATCCCTGGAATCGCCGAATAATCCACACATGAACCAAAGCTTAATGCTGGAACAAGACTGATTTACTGGCACACAGAACTCACAATTTATGCAACACAAAACTCCTCCTCTGGGCCAGGCTAGATAATTGAGTTTCTACAATACACAAAGCTCAATTATCTGCTGGCCAGAAATATTACAGTTTTTAACAATTTTAGAAAAGTACTTTTTATGCCACATACAAACATAATTTCAACATCCCTGGGTAGCTGAGGATACTGGTAATCATATATCCAAATCTCATGAATTTCCTTTCGGTAGTTTCCGTGTCGCATCGTGTGAAAGTTTGACCGGCTCGCCATGTGGAGGTATCCGATTTTGAGTTCCAGAGAATCAGTAGCAAGAGCCGGTCTCCGTTCGCATCTAACTGCATGAAAACCACCGTTCGTATGGTGCAGCTGGTTACCTGTGAATGTTCCCCTTATTCTGTAGATTCTATCTACCGAACGCCAGTTGGATTCGTGTAGGGGAACGAATTCATCCAGGACTTCCGTGGTGACCGGGAGTTTGCATGTTTGCTGTACCGAAATTAGTTCCATGAAATTCATGTGTAAGCCCCGCTGACCGCATTTGTGAGTTTTAAGATGGCCGCCATCCTTTGTTCTCGCCACGTGTTCGTATGTCGAATGGCGGCCACCCAGTAGCACTTAAGTCGCGGTTTTCTCCGCATTCTAATGCTAATTGCTACTCGGGGGGGTGGTCCTCGTTCGGTAAACGAATACATTTATTCCCTATATACTGAACCGAACTAATACAGGCATTTGAACAGCAGGGAGAGGGTTACTGAAAGCACACAGGTAAATACATAAAAGTCCTTCACATACATCTATAGCATTAGAACAGAATTTAACAAACAATCAGAATATGTGCAGAGGGAGACCTGTCTCAATTCTCCTTCCAAGGAATACAGAAATGCAGGTTGGGACCCAGGGAGGAGAGATTTACAAAAAAAAATAAATAATGTTTTGGATCTTCACCAGGTCTAAATTTGGAGTATGATCTGAACCAGATATTCACACAGTAGATTTACCATGTAGGGGATACTCCAGATAGCGTTATGGGGGTAAAGAGCCTGTGTACACAAATGATTTGATCAATATCTAAGAATTTAGGAAAACAGGAATTATCTATATTCTCTCATTGAACTAGCTCGGTTGTATATTATGGATGGCCGTGAGTGCGGACCTTTTGGAGCAAGTTGGCAAAACTTTCATTTAGGATTAGTCCAGCACCACTTAACCTACCTGAAACATCAGCCCGAAGTAAGTGACCATGGTATTTTTATTTTATTTTTTCTTCCTTCTGTGGATATGTTTTCCTCATTGGGATTGGGGTTCCGGCACTGAGAGTCTTTACCGAGTTTTCCCTGGAGTCTGATGTAATTTGCGATCATTATACTGGGTAAGAGTTTTCTCTTTTATGAATATCAAGCAAATCAAATGTAATATTTCAACATAGCAACATTATAAACTACAGACTGTAAGCTCGTTTTAGCAGGGTCCTCTTCAACCTATCGTTCCTGTAAGTTTTCTTGTAATTGTGCTATTTATAGGTAAATCCTCCCTCTCATAATATTGTAAAGCGCTACGGAATCTGTTGGCGCTATATAAATGGCGATAATAATAATAAAAAACTAAGGGTGTGTGATGATTTCAGAGTTCTTCCTGGATTGGGAGTTCACTGTAGATACAAAAACTCCTGTGGAAGGAATAATTGGGAGGGAGGGGGTGATATCTAATTGTTAAACATATGTATATGTACGATTCATTAAACTTTTAACCCCCCAGAGATGTCAAACTTCTAAATACGTTTGACTATTTGCAAGGGGGATGGGGTAATAGAATTTAAATTAATTGGAACAGTTCATTAAGGAACTGGAAACAACTTGTTTGACAGCATTAAATGTTATTGGTTACTTTTAAGGGGTTAGAAAGATTGGACCAATTACTGCCTGAGTTTCCATTTAAAGGGGAAAGTAGAACTAGGCTCCGGGCACCATAACGGCTTATTCTAGTTGTTATAATGCAAAGAGGTTGGAATTGGCTGAGACATTTGGAATAAATAAAAACAGGGCTCTGGCTGTAACCTAGTTGAGGGAGAAGACAACTTACATTAACCCATTCAGCTTTGGTCAGCAATAAACCTAATAACAGGATCAGGAGCAAAGACTCAGACCAAATACAATGAATAGCGTGTGTGAAAGCGTCACTAGAGGGCAGAAATCTAGACCATTATACATACTACACTCATTATCCACTTCATTAGTTATCAGTGGGGGCTGGTGGGGCACCAGACTGGACATGGCAATATGACTTGTCCCCTATTTTTCTCGCAACCATGAATAGGAAAATGCCTAAATGGCACCACCACCTCCACAATATGTGGCCAATACCATACATAGGGAATAAAGTATATAGACATGTTCTCTAACAAAAACAAATGAAAATTATATAGATCACAGGAAGCTGCTGGAGTGTTGCCAGTCACTATGTGATTGAGGGTCCTCTAACACTGAAGAAAAGCAGGTACCTCTTAACACGGAAAGCAGTGCCTTAATTTGCTATACAGGAGAAGGCATGTGGCAGACACTGCTGTCAGTGGGTGCCTGTATATTACAGGGGGAGCTGGGTGGCAGGCACTGCTGTCAGAGCATCAATAAGACCAGTCAGGCCATGCGGTGGCCAGAAAAGGGAGTGCACAGACGCAGATTGGTGGCAAGCACTTCATATTACAGCTGTGCCTGCCACCATTTGTGCAAATTAAAACAGAGCAAGGCCGGCTGGCACCCTCCCGCCCATCTGATAACAGAGCTAGCAGATACTGCCAGCCTCTTACACAGGGACTTTGCCTAAAAATCTAATAAGACTTTTTTTCCTTTTCTACTCTACTGAGCAACAGCAGAAAAGTACAAAAAGGGGAACTGCAGTAAAAATCAAACAAATAGAGGCTGCGCAAAATGTTGCTATGTGCACAAACAAAGTGCTACCAAAATTTATTGGAGGACAGAATAATAAACAGACTTTGAGGACAGAATAATAAACAGACGTTTCGGGTACAACCCTTTTTCAATGCACCATGTCCCTGCATTGAAAAAGGGTTGTACCCGAAACGTCTGTTTATTATTCTGTCCTCAAATAAATTTTGGTAGCACTTTGTTTGTGCACATAGCAACATTTTGCGCAGCCTCTATTTGTTTGATTTGCACTGTGGATTGTTGTCACTGTTTGAGCAGCAGTGAGAGGCTTTGCTGCATTTGTGAGTACTATTTTTGTCTGATGTTTTTTTGCTATATCTGGATTTTTTTATCCAGTTCCTCATACCTTGTTTTGTGCAGTCACTTATATTTAAAGGGACAGAACATTTCAAACAATCATATTAAAAGTGTTCGTTTACACAAAAAAAAGTTGACAGAAAAAAGACATACAGTATATACTCGAGTATAAGTCTAGTTTTTCAGCACATTTTTTGTGCTTAAAAACCCCCACTCGACTTATACTCGAGTCACTGTCTGTATTATAGCAACTTAGAGAGCCGCGGCCGTCAGAGCCATGGCAACGATCCGCGCGGCAACCAGACCGTGAGACTTACAGTGGAGCTGACCGGAACGGAGGAGAAGGGAGCTGACAGGAGCTGCAGGAAAGGTAAGTAAATGCTTCCTGCCGGCCCCCCCACTTCACAGCCCATGCCACTGGACCACCAGGGATTAAGATAGCCCCCCTCCCTGACCAGTTAACAAGCAGGGAGGGGGGACAAAAAAAATTAAAATAAAAAAATAATATTAAAATAAAAATTTTTTTAAATAATAAAAATGCCCTCCCCCCACCCAGTTCACACACACTACACAAACACACACTCTGCATTATATACATAGAGTGTGTGTATATAATGCAGAGTGTGTGTTTGTATGAGTGTGTGTGTGTGTGTGTGTGTGTATAATGCAGAGTGTGTGTTTGTATGAGTGTGTGTGTGTGTATAATGCAGAGTGTGTGTTTGTATAAGTGTGTGTGTATATAATGCAGAGTGTGTGTTTGTATGAGTGTGTGTGTATATAATTATAAAAATCACAGAATTTCATAGCCCCAAGTTTTACCCTCGACTTATCCACGAGGCATAGCATATTTCACAATTGTTGGTCACAAAACTGCACTCGACTTATACATGAGATCAACTTATACACGAGTATATACGGTAGGTAATTAAGGAACACTATAATGATAGGAATACAAATGTGTACTACTAATGCTATATTGTTACCTATCCCGCACTCCTATTGTAAGGGTTTAAAAGGCAACTATTACTTATTTTTCAGCCCTTTCTGCACTGCGCTCCTCACTGTCAGTCCCACCTCTTGGACTGAGACCATCAGTGTTGACTTCATGCAATCCAATGCTTCGAAATAGGGCAGCATTAGGAGGATTGTGCCAATCAATTCTTGCTCTAGTAGCAGCATTTGAACTAACCAAGTTTACTCTGTTATACCAGAGGAAGACAGCCACTAGAGGTGTGTTGAATCTGCAATGTAAACATCGTTTTACTTTGTAGACTTTGACAGACAGAGGCACTGAACTCTGAAATGGTCTGTGTGCCTTTTGTGTCCCTTTAAGGTGTACAGAGTGTCCCTTAAAAGAAAAAATCAACAATGTTGTCCATTTAAAAGTAGAGTAGGTTAAATATATCAGCAACATGTTCTATTCTGTATCGAAGTCAATGTATGTATATAAACCCTGTTTCAGGTAGATTCAGCCCCACAAAAAACATTAATCGATGACTCCATTCTGGAGTACGGTTAAACTGCAGATTGGCTGTTTACAGAGGATTGTTAAGAAAAGTTAAAAAATAGTGAGTGCTGCTCCAAACACTGCAAATCAAACTAGAATTTATGAGTATGGAATAAATAGTAATGACAACACATCCATCAGAACAGATGATAACGTAAGAGCCCACAATGCTTTGGTCTAGCACAGAAAGGGTTGAAATGGATATTCTTTGTCAAGTGCCAGGTCAGTCGATTGTGTGTAGGAGACGTGATCACTACAAAGTATTCCTTATTAAAGGGACTCCAGGGGGAAATCATCACTTCTTGGTTTTTCCAACCTAACAAAATCATCCATACACAGAGGCTTTCACTGCTTTAAAACCACATAAATCATGATTAATCAAGTTTATAAATGGAGGTGGTTACAAGACTAACGATTGAAGAACTAGACACTGATCAAAGTGCATTGGCGAATGTGAAATATATCCTTCTAGAACTGAAATCTCTGAAGAAAATAAAAGGATGACTAAACCAAGTTTTTTGTTTGTAAACTTAAAGGATTACTTCAACCACCCTCCTTCCCCTTATAAACCTGCAAAATAAGCTTTAAAATAAATAAATACAAATTTAAAAAAACTTGGAAACCAGCGCCAAATGAAGAATGGCTGAGATTCATCTAAAATCAGCATACAGGTGATACTCGAAGTATTAGAATATTGTGCAAAAGTTCATTTATTTCAGTAATGCAACGTATAAGGGGAAACTAATATATGAGATGAACTATCTTGCTTTGCATGTAATGCGTCTAAGCCGTGATTTGTCATAAGTGCGATGATTATGGTTAACGGCTCATGAAAACCCCAAATCCACAATTTCAGTAAATTAGAATATTACATGCAATCAATAAAACAAGGAGTGTACATAGTAGGGATCGACCGATATTGATCTTTTAGAGCCGATACCGATACTATGTGAACTTTCAGGCCGATATAATTTGCCGATATTCTGTACATTTACCATTTTGGAAAATAAAAACTATTTCTAAAGGTAAATGCACAAAATATACATGCCACGTGTAGTGGATGCAGTGTGTTTAGACAGGGGAGCTGTATGTGTTTGTGTAGTGTGTGTAGTGGATGCAGTGTGTATTTGTGTAGTGTGTAGTGGATGCACTGTGTATTTGTCTAGTGTGTAGTGGATATTAGTGTGTATTAGTGTAGTGTGTATATAATGAAAGCTGAGTGTTTGTGTAGTGTGTATATAATGAAAACAGAGTGTTTGTGTAGTGTGTATATAATGAAAGCAGAGTGTTTGTGTAGTGTGTGGGTAGTGTGCGTAAAGTGAATGCAGTATATACTAAATGCAAAGTGTGTGTGTTTGTGTAGTGTGTGTATATAATGAATGTAGTGTGTTTATATAATAGAGTGTTTGTATAGTGTGTATATAATGCAGTGTGTTTGTATAGTGTGCATTATATAAACACACTATGCAAACACACACTGCATTATACACACACACTGCATTATATACACACTACACAAACACTGCATTATATACACACACACACTACACAAACACACTGCATTATATAAACACACTACACAAACACACTGCATTATATACACACACTACACAAAGACACTGTGTGTGTTTGTATAGTGTGTGTATATATAATGCAGTGTGTTTGTGTAGTGTGCATTATATAAACACTACACAAACACTGCATTATATACACACACTATACAAACACACACTTTGCATTATATACACAGTGTGTTTGTGTAGTGTATGTGTATATAATGGAATGTGTGTGTGAGTGGGCATTTTCTTTTATTAAATTATTTATTTTTCCTATTTAATTATTTATTTTTGTTGTCCCCCCTCCCTGCTTGTTGCCTGGCCAGGGAGGGGGTATATAGCAGTCCCTGGTGGTCCAGTGGCATTGGTTGAGCTGTGGGGGGAGCAGGCAGCAAGCGCTTACTCACCTCCTAGCAGCTCCTCCAGCTCTCCAGTGTAACTCCCGCGGTCAGCGTGTCGGCCGCGGGTCTCGCGAGAGTTACACTGGGGAGCTGCTGGAAGGTGAGTAAGCGCTTGCTGCCCGCTCCCCCCAGGACCGCCGGGCTTGTAATGAGCCTGGCGGTCCTATGAGGTATTATCGGCAATATCGGTATCTCTATTGGCCGATACCGATATTGTCGAAAATACCGAATATCGGTAAAACCGATAATCGGTCAATCCCTAGTACATAGAACAACATCGGACCTCTGAAAAGTATAAGCATGCAGTACTTGGGTTGGGCCCTCTTTGCAGCAATTACTGCCTCAATGCGGCGTGGCATGGAAGCTATCAGCCTGTGGCACTGCTGAGGTTATATGGAAGACCAGGATGCTTCAATAGCGGCCTTCAGCTCTTCTAAATTGTTCGGTTTCATGTCTCTCATCTTTCTCTTGGCAATGCTCCATAAATTCTCTATGGGATTCAGGTCAGGGGAGTTTGCTGGCCAATCAAGCACGGTAATCCCACGGTCATTGAACCAGGCTTTCATGCTTTTGGCAGTGTGGGCAGGTGCCAAGTCCTGCTGGAAAATTAAGTCAGCATCCCCATAAAGCTCGTCTGCGGAAGAAAGCATGAAGTGCTCCAAAATCTCCTGGTAGACGGCTGTGTTGACCCTGGACTTAATGAAGCACAGTGGACTAACACCAGCAGATGACATGGCTCCCCAAATCAACACAGACTGTGGAAACTTCACACTGGACTTCAAGCATCTTGCAGTGTGTGCCTCTCCATTCTTCCTCCAGACTCTGGGTGATTGGTTTCCAAATGGGATGCAAATGTTGCTCTCATCAGAAAAGAGGACTTTGGACCACTGAGCAACAGACCAGGTCTGTTTTTCTTTAGCACAGGTAAGACGCTTCTGACGTTGTTTGTTGTTCAGGAGCAGCTTGAACAAGAGGAATACGCCATTTGAAGCCCATGTCCAGGATCCGTCTGTGTGGTGGCTCTTGATGCACTGACCTGCAGCCTCGGTCCACTCCTTGTGAAAGTCCCCAACACATTTGAATGGCCTTTTCCTGACAATCCTCTCCAGGCTGCGGTCATCCCTGCTGCTTGTGCACCTTTTTCTTCCACACTTTTCCCTTCCACATAACTTTCTATTAATGTGCTTTGATACAGCACTTTGGGAACATCCAACTTCCTTCACAATTACCTTTTGAGGCTTTCCCTCCTTATGGAGGGTGTCAATGATGGTTTTCTGCACAAGTGTCAGGTCAGCAGTCTTCCCTATGATTGTGATTCCTACTGAACCAGACTGAGAGACCATTTAAAGGCTCAGAAACCCTTTGCAGGTGTTATGGCTTACTTAGCT